AACGCATGTCAGGTAAGAAACATACATGTTTTCGCTTGGACAGCATGATTTTAATCACTTTACTACAGTAAATTATCCTCAAATTCTGTGTTAAGCTAAGCTACTACTTAATAAATATACTGATGTAACTGTGTGATTTCCCCCCCACAGTGATGTTTGAAGACTACGTTTATGCTGTGACCATCTCAGGACAAAAAGTTTTTGTAGTCAAAAGGCAGAACAACCAGCGGGAACCTGTTATTGTGTAGTAAAGAGGATAATATGGACTGATCTTACCCACTTTTACAAGCTCAAATTGGTGCCCTCACATTGAAACAGCCATCGCAACCATCTGATGTTTAGCACAATCACAATGAATTTCTTTTGTAAGAAGACTTTATTACACCGAATTGGGGGCCTTTGCTGGTGTCAGGTGTATTTGACCTGAACCTGAGTAAGTTAATGTGTAAATCTTGAACAACTGCAATGTTACAGACTATGGTCACAGGATTCATCTGATGCAAGATTAAATGCTGTCAATATTTTAGCCCCCATTTATGATTGAGTGGTTTCAATTACTGTATTAATGGAGATGACTATAGATTTGTATTTACATTTAACCCAATCAATATTTTAACATACAGCTTCCTCATAAAAATACAGGCATGTTTTGACTTAAGGACCTGCTCATCACATTATATCTTTATAGCCACGGAAGCCATTTATTTTTGACAATATTACACTGGGTGTTATAATTGTATTATGAGTTTCATATTCCAATCTTAATGTAAAGTATGAGAGCTTGTAGTGAGGCGTTATAATACAAAGTTATTTTCTCTTGGATCTGTGAAAGCAGAAACTTAAGTGCACTGAATTGACTTTTTACAGTCTATTTCCATATGTGTTTAATTAACAGGCTTGAAATCAAATCTTTGAATAACTGCATTAACAATAATATATTAAATAAAGTACTATGCATTTTAGTTTGTTCTTTGTCAAGAATCATCTAATTGTTTGTGGTTAAAACAGTCAATGCTGAATAATTTAATGCTGTACTATAACCTTTATTTTAGAGTTTAAAATGTATCAAGGTCTTAAGCAATATATATATATATATATATATATATTGTAAACAAACAAAAACATTAAAGGAAAAAAATAGATTTCAATGATTTCAATCATAATGTAGATTCAGCATAATGTGGAATAAGGATAGTTTTTTCTTAATTAATTTTTACTGATCTGACACTTGATTTATGAGAGGAATTCTGAAAATTCCTAATCTTTTTGTTTAACAAATCCTTTATGTTTGAATCCCTGTCTTCCTACAAAATACTACAATACTTACCTTCATCTTTGTTTCATAGTAATGCATATTTTTAGTATACAAGGCCAAATAACTAATAAGATGATGAGGTTTTAAAAAATATCTGGAAAGGGCGACAAAGGAACAAGAAATGGGGAAGGAAAATGCAGAAAAGTGCGTTAGAACAGGAACTGATTGCAAAGTCCTTAATGTGAAGGTCAAACCAGCAAAGAACATTTTGACATTTCCTGAACTGCAACACTCATCTGGCGTTTCATTTGTTTATTTAGTTGCATCTGATTTTCAATCTGGTCCAACTCATTAGTAATTCTCCATTTTAATTGCTTTGATAGTTCTTTAGATAGCCAATCTAGTCCCTCATTGAGTCCCGTTCCTTGGGTGGCACATGTGGCTTAAAAAAATCACTGCAGGACAAGGAGGGAAATTGAAGCAATTTCGCAACATTTGTAAAAGCAAATGAGCAATGAAAGAAGATGTACTACTTTTAAGTGGAGACCTAGTTTGTCTGTCAGGTCGCTCACTCCCATGGCATTTGGCTGTTTATTAGCAAAACAACAAACAAACAAAAACAGAGGGAGATGTTTCCAGAAACAGTGCCACTGTGCACAGTTTACTAAAAGGTATCGGACATTAATACACAAATCACTCCCAAAGATTTGCAAGTTTGCTGTGTCATGGATTTTTACACTGCCCCATAGCAAAAATGGAGTGCAAGATGATCCATGGAAATGTTTGTAAAATGGAAAAATAGTTAGATAAATATATTTTGATATTACGTTTTAATTTTGCCGATGACAGAAATTATGATTATTTATCATTTTTGACAGTGTTTAAATAAGAGTAATTTGATGGTGGGTAGAAATATCTAGGTTCTGTGAAACATACTGAAAACCATGACTGAAGAAAAAACAACAACCAGGCCTTTCCGCTCTCTAATGTCTCTCCAGCGCTGTAAAGCTTTTCCATTATTAACGCAAGTCCAAGCTCTTGCCTGATCATAAGCTTCCTTTTTCCAAGTATATTCCTCTTACCTTTTCTCTTTTGTAGTCTCTCAGCCACCTCTTTTCTACAGTCTTTCTACAAATGTCCCTCTTTCTCCCCCTCCTCCCCCATCACGAGTGGACACGGCTCCTACCGCTGATTGGCTACAAGAGTTTTGGTGCTTTATAGATTGGATCCGATCCAGTTTGTTTTTTCTCCTATTTGCACAGCCAGGATGATGTACAAACACTATATTTTTTTTCAGCTCACACACAGAGCAGACATTTAGCAAATATTCACAAAGTCGTTTGTTTGGGCGTTGATTTAAATTTTAAACAGTTTAATCGCTTACTGCACCTTTAAACAGGACCGACCCACGTGCACTCCCAAAATTAAAGGTTCCAAGCTATAGCACACCCTTTCACACCAACATTTAGAACAAAACGGTTGAACCATCCAAACTAATGACAGAAGGAGCATCCTAGTTTTTCTATTATTATAACAACTTCTTTAACAATTATAACAATTTCTTAACAGAAGAAAAAAATATTCTTTCCTCTGTATTTTGTTGTTATGTAAGAACCACAGCTGTTGTCCCATTCGTCAAGCACATAAACTCACACTCTTGTCCTTGTGGTAGTTTGTCTTTATGCAGTAACATGTTAGCAGCTTACATTTAAAATAAATAAATCACACAAAATTTGTATGATGTATGAGTGTGAGTAATGTTACTATTCTGAAAAATTCCAAGCACATATGCTAGTTCTCTTTTCTACAGGTTGTATGACTAAACTGAATCACTTTAGTTCTATGTAAATACTCTTGAAATAAGAAAATGTCTCTGCTGATATCTTTGGCCATCCAACGTGTTGTCTTACACATTGCTCTTGAATTGATTTGTGACTTTTTAATATGTTCATTTTAGGCTTGATGGAAGTCAAAGAAAAAAGAGAAGAACTGCGTGTAGAGAAGGAACCTTTTAGTTTACCCGAGACGGAAAACAAATTATCAGTAAAAAGAACTCAAAAATCAAGAGCCGAGAGATCTGTAACCTGCCCTTAGTGTGGAAAGAGTTTTGCACAAAGGACACCTGAACATTCGCATAAGAGTCCACACTGGAGAGAGACCCTTCACGTGCTCGTACTGTGGAAAGAGTTTCAAACAAAAAGAAGATCACACATTCATTCACATGCAGGAAAGGCAATCACATGCCTTCAGTGTGGGAAGAAAATTTGTAATAAGAACATTTTGAAAAAACAATCTCTGGAGTAAGACCATACAGCTGATCAGTGTGAAAAAACATTTATTTTGGCTTTTCAACTGAAAAGACATTAGACAGTTCATCTAAAGGAGAAGCCGTTCTCATGTTCTTCATGTGGAAAGAGTTTCACACGGTTAGATTGTTTGAAAGCGCACCAGACATTACATACTGGTGCGAAAGATGAATAGCTGTCCTAAAGCCTTATTTGCCGCAGCACCCAAAAAAATCCATACTGGAGGAAAACCTTACAAGTGTTCATACTGTGGAAAGAGTGTCACTCACAAAGGAGACAGAACATGTGAGAGCTCACACTGGAGAGAAGCCGTACACTGCTCATCATGTGGAAAGAGGTGGTCAACAGACCCATATGAAAAAACATTGCCCAGTGCTGAAAACATGTATTGGATTGGTTACAAAAATAAATAATTTTGAAAAAAATAAAGCCATGTTTCTTGGCTACATTCAAGGTGAGGCTATTTTGAGCCCTCTACTTGGAAAAAATGCAATTCCCCATTGACTTCCATAGTAATTTTATACTAGGAAGTCCATAGTGCCCCACAACTGTTTGGTTACAAACATTCTTCAAAATATCTTCTTTTGTCTTCAGCAGAAGAAGGAAATTCATACAGGTTTGGAACATCTTGAGAGTGAGTAAATGGTTACAGAATGAATATTGTTTTTTTTTTGGGGGTAAAATATCCCTTCAAGTGAGAACTCCACATAAGCCTATGTATGTATTCTGATTCATGTATGTAAACCAGAGGTGCAAAATTCAGTGTGTGTGTGTGTGTGTGTGTGTGTGTTTGTTTGCACACCCTCACTAGTTAAAATAGCCCATATTTTAAAAAACTATTATAAAAACATCTTTTGGAAGTAAATATTATTAATTAGCTCATAATGTAAAATTATTTATAGGTTAAGAAGTCAATACAACACTTTAACGTTTGGAGTGGATAAACGTTAAAACTTTAGAGTAGTATAAATGTTCATACTGCTCTTTTCCATAGTGAACGCATAAAGTTTATTCTATTAAGTACAATCACTTACTAATGAACCCAAAGCCCAATGATGACGAACTTTTTTTCCTCCAACCAGTCGGGCTCTATGTTTATCGTGGGATCCGTGAGGCGAGGCCAGCGCGTTTGTTTGTCTTTATTTAAATCTGAATTAAACTAAAAAAAGACACTTAAAAAAAAAACAAAAAAAACAGAGACTTTATATAAAAAGTCCATAAATATCTTAAAAGAAAGAAAACGAAAGAAGAAAAAACCCAACAACAATCGGTTCATCGTTTAGTATGTTATTTCAGTATGTTTTCCCTGCTCGATTCACGATTCATATTTTATAGATGACATTTAAAAATCTAATAATTTTTGCATTTTAATAAACTTGCAATATATATATATATATATATTTAATACTCTTAAACTTTTAATTTCCCCTGAAACGTCACTTCCACACCCGGAAGCGACTCCAGCAAATAAATAGGACACGTAGCTGCTACTCGGGTAAATGCGATATTTCTCTCTTGAAATATAATTAAATGAACAGTAAATGAAACTAAGAGAACATTTATTTGACGTTTTATTCACAATGCTTCTAAGTCTAAATGTCATGATGTGGGATTTGATGTAATGTATCTATTCTTGCACCTTTACAACATGCTAACTAATTAGCTACAGACAACAAATGAGCAGTAAAATATAGTTAGTAAATTAAATAACGGACAAAAGCAGTCTCAAAGACTAACAACAACAAGAAAACGTTAAATGTCAAAGTATGAATGCTTTCCATAGTTCAATCTCTCTCTCTCTCTCTCTCTCTCTCTCTCTCTCTCTCTCTCTCTCTCTCTCTCTCTCTCTCTCTCTCTATATATATATATATATATATATATATATATATATATATACATACATATACAATATATATATATATATATATATATATAAATTAAAGGAATATTTATTTTTAAGAACAAACTCAAAATATTGTGAACATCTGCTTACAGATTTTCCACATTGCACTTCTTTATTTCATATATATTTACTTTGCAGGTGGAGATCATATCAGAGAGTATGAAACCAGCCTGACAGTGATACAGCATGGACAAGTTTGGTATGAGCTTTGTCGGAGGTCCAAGCAAGAAGGATCTGCTGGAAACCATTGAACTGCAGAAGAAACAGCTTGTGAAATATCAGACGCGTTTTAAAGATGTTGTCAGAGCGTACCAAAGCTTAATTAAGGAAAAAGAGGCCTTGGAAGCCAGCCTGAAGGTACTGTCCATATCTCAGGAGGTAGATTTAAGCCAGCGGGATGATAACCTGTCATTTGGTGACGCTACAGGAAATGCTGAACGATCATTGCCCTCCTACCTTGGGGATGACCGATGTTCGCTTCACAGTGAAGACAGCCTGGATACAGCAGCCTCTGCTGAAACGGCCACTAGCGTGACCAGCAACAGCACTAAAGGAGACCAAATAGAGGAGGACCAAAGCTGTGCTGTAGATGGAGCCACCTCTGGAGCTGTTGTACATGCCTTACCCCAGCAATCTGAGGAGGCAAGTGGGTCTGAAAGTGGTATCAGCACCAGCAGCAGTGGATGTACGGAGCCGCAACCACCTCCAGCAGACACAGACCGCCGTGTCATCCAACTAAAGACGCAGCTGTCCACCCTGACCAGCTCCTTATCAACCGTCACTCAAGAAAAGTCCAGAATGGAAGCTTCGTTCCAGGCGGACAAGCGGAAGATAAAGCAGGAACTGGAGGAGCTGCAGGCCAGGATGGAGGAAGATCAGAAGCAGCACCAGATGGAGGTTCACAGCCTGCAGGAGCTGCTGGCGGAGAGCAAAGCCCGTGTCATCACCCAGCAGCACGAACGGGAGCAGGAGCAGGGCGATCATGCGCTCATGCTTCGAGAGCTTCAGAAACTCCTGCAGGAGGAGAGGGGACTGAGACAGGACGCCGAACTCAAACTGGAGGACTCGCGGGAGGCGTTGGCTGAAGCCATGCAGGCAGTAGACCGAGGGCTAGATTACGAATCGCAGCTGAAAGAGATGAGTCAGGAACGAGAGGAGCTGAGGAAGAGTCTGAAGGCTGCAGCGGCGGAGAGGAGCAAACCCGACCCACGTGTGGAGGAGCTCCAGCAAGAGATCGCAGACCTCAAAGCTCACTTCAATCAGCAACTTCAGCAGGAAATCCGAAAGGTACTTTTTAAAAAGGCCATTCATTCTAGCCATCGTTAAGATTACAGTAATTTTCCACTCCACTAAAAACAGGTCATTCTTATTACATTTTCTTATTTATAATGGAATATTGCAGTATTTATTATAAATTATTTATCGTGCATTATTTTATTTAAATTCATGAGCTGTCATAATCTTTAATCAAAGTAACTTCCCCTCCCTCTTGCAACAACAGCTCTTCTCTTCTCTGATGACATTCCAACAATCCAGTCAATTGCTGATGGACAAAATCAAGTCCTGATTATTTTTCTTTATTATTTTTTTTAAGAGGCCGTTTCACTTGGATATACATCACAATAGGGAAGAAAAGACTATCGCAACATCTGTTTCATACTAACTTTAAGAGTGTACTCCCAACAGAAAATTTATAATGCATGATATATCCATACCAACCTATATTAGATTTGGTTTGAAGTCACAGTGTAATGGAAGTAGTGACATATCTTTCTTCTGTATTGTGACATACATCCAAGTGAAATGGATTATCTGAAAAGAAAAAAATGAGACTCGGTTCTACACATCAGTTGTATATTGAATGGAGGCAGATCTGAGTTCAAGCTTGCAGTCGATTGTAAGAAAGGAGTGGATTTTAAGCGGACTAAATGATTGGTGAAGTCCAGCATACGTCACAAGAGAGAATTGTCATTTCGCCGGAAGATTCAGTTATGACATTTTGATAAAAAATGACAAGGTAAAAGGAAAAGAGAGACATGCGTGAAAAAGAATTTCCATTTCACGTTAATATCGGTATCGATTAATATTTGAAGACACTAATAATTTAATAACACTGTTTAATGTAATCTTTAGTAAATCTCAAAAATGAATATCTTTTTTAAATTCTGTACATCAGAACTATTCTGTTCTTTTTTTTAACAGATTTTTTTAACTATTCAAATAAAATAAAGAATTTTGATATCGGCCATTTATCGGTTAATTTGTGCCTTCATAGCTAATCTCAATATGCCTGCTCACTTAATCTTAATTAATTGGCCTGCCTGATATACTCACACCATTCATACAGTCCTGTTTGTGGATAGCCAGTGTCCTGCAGAGTTTAGCTCCAACCTGCTCCAACATGCTTCCCTGGAAATTTCTAGCAATCCTGAAGACCTTGATTAGTTGGTTTAGGTGTGTTTAATTTGGATTGAAGCTAAACTCAGCAGGATAGTCGCCCAAGGATTGGACACCCTTGGTCTATTTGCTTTTTTAAACATTTATTCTTATTTCTTACTCATATGTGTCTATGTAGGTGGCACAGGCAGATGAGCTTCTCCGAGAACAGGCGCAGATGGAGGAGGGACGAGTTGCCAGCCTTGAGGAGCGAGTATCTGAGCTCTCTGAACTGCTGGGTGCCTGCGAGAAGGCCAGACAGAAGGACCAACAGAAGGCTCAGAGGCTCCGAGAACGCATCCTTCAACTCGACACAGAGAACAAAACCCTCGCTATCGCAGCGGTCAATAGGACGTCGATCTCCGATCTAAACATCGACGACGCCAACTTGAACGTGGACGTGTTAAAGGACAAACTCGAGAAGGTAAAGAAGTTACTCCTACTGGCTGCGCAAAGATCTCAAGACCGGAGTCTGGACATCGAAAGTCTGCTAGAAGGAGAAAAGGACCAGGAAATCTCAGAGGGAGAGAAGGCGTCAGCGCTCCACTACCAGCAAGAGCTACGGCAGCTGAGGGAGGAGTTCGAGCGTTACAAAATGAGGGCTCAGGGTGTTCTGAAAAACAAGACCACGAAAGACGGCAACCAGTCCAAAGACTTAGAAGAAGCGCGTGACCAGCTGGCCGAGCTGAAGGAGAAGTACATCAACCTTCGCATACTTTCAGATGAAGCGGAAGCGCAGCACAAACGGGACCTGGAGGAGCGGCAGCAAGGGCTTGTAGCGCTCCAGCAGGCCCACAAACAGGAAGTCGAAAGGCTTGAGGCTCAACACAGGGAGAATTTCTTGCGGCTTGAGGAAGAGCTGCACAAACAGAGGGATCGCACCATGGCCCTGCTTTCAGAAAAAGACCTCGAGCTTGAGCGACTTCGGGCTACGGCGGTGATCAGTTTTGGAAGCCATCAGAGGCACGCTACAAATAACAGCACAGCGATGGAAGGAGGTGACCTAGAAGAAGTTGATCCAGAACAAGAAGAAAGTGACATTGTCGCACAAGCTCTTAAACTAGCTGGGCACAACGAGCCAACTTTATTGCTATACGCCGAACAGCTGGCCCGCAAAGAGGTGGAGGTGGCCGCCTTGCGCAAACAAAAGCATCGTCTTGAGGAAGACTTGCACCAGCTACAAGGAAAGCTGATTGCAAAGGGGGAGAGGCATGAAGAAGAGGTTGCTGGGCTACAGTGCCAGCTGGACAAGCATATTCGGGACCAGGGAAGAGATGGGGCCAACCTCGAGTACCTCAAGAATGTAATTTATAGGTTTCTCACGCTCCATGACACTAGGGGGCGCCAGCAGACACTCACGGCCATTTTGACCATTTTGCACTTTAGTCCTCAAGAGAAACAAGCCGTGCTGAAGCAGCAGCCACACAATTGGTGGACGGCAGGGATGAGATGATTCAAACAGGTGGCGAAGATAGACGTTATGGTTGTACTGTGCTGAGATAAATATTTGTTTATTTTTATTGACCACTTTTTGTGTGCAGTGTGAGAATGTACCAAATCACAGGAGCAACAATGTGGATATGTTTCCAATAATGACGTACTCCCAACTATTGCATGACAGGATACTAAACCCTTTATGAATGGTTTTAGTCCAGTATTTGATAGCGTACATCCCTCCTGTGCAACATAATATATCTTGACACTGTCTTCAATCTGTAAAATCAACAGAGTTGGGTGCAGCAAAATAGTGTTATGATTTTGTATTATAACTGGAGTCATAATGTAACACTTTTTGGATGAAGGGTTTACATCTACAGTATGGGTTATGCCAAAGAAAACACTCAAATGGACTTTACGATGACATTGAAAGCTCCAAGACTTTTAGAGGGAAACTAGCAAGTAATGCCTTCAGACAGCAGCACTTTTCATATATAGTCATGGTGAACTCCATACATATATGTAACACACAAAACTAATTCCATGGGTTTTACTAAGAATATTTCATTAACTTATATATAAAAAAAAACATCGGTTGCTTTGAGTTTGCAAACATATAGCAGTTTTGGTTGGTTCTATTTTTCCTGCCATAGTCTAGGGCATTTGATGAATACACCGTTACCTCTTAATATAAGCTGTATATTATATATGCTTTTTTGTTTTTTTGAGAAGAATTACAGATCATTTTCAGTGTCTTCACGGTTTCAGTCTTCTAAATAAATGTATATTTTCAATCTTTGACCAAAACAATAAACTATTTTGATGATCTCAGCATTTTATGTTTTTATAAATACTATATATATACTTGACTCCAATGCATATGCAACTTTGATACATTTTAAAAATATTTTATTGTTACATTTTCAGTCACACAACACAATCATAATGTTTCCTCAGCTTGTAATCTCATTAAAAATAAGAGAAATTAATCACTTATGGAAATAAAAAACCTTGAAAATTGTTTTCTCTGTACTGCGAAATTCTTAGCCGATCATTATTACAAAAACAGCATGTTGAAGAATGTACAATGTAAAGACTGTTATTGTTAAAAACAGGTGCTTCTTGCATTAAGACAGTGGCTGAAGAGTGGTATGGTCAAAATCCAATACTACTCTTACTATTTCTGCCATTTAAATATATTTGACAGAAATAGTAAGCGTAGTATGCTATTTGAATTCAGCCAGTGTTTCCCAATCTGGAGTTTCCCAACTGCTCATTTTGTACGTGTCCCCATTGATACACTCAATTCAGTTTATTAGCACTCTACAAATGAGAAGATGAGTTGTATCAGGTGCTTTACATTAGGGAAGCATCCTAAAATGTGCAGTGTTTAGGGGTCTTCCAGGTCTAGGACTGAGAAACATGAACAAGCTTACAACTAAAATATAAATAATCAAACACCTGTCTTTACATCCAAGCTCTTACTATAAGTCAGTTCAAACATAGACTTTAATAACACATTCCCAACCATAAAAACAACATTTTATAGAATTGGAAAAAATGGCCAACTTAAATTAAACTTGCATCCATTTTAATAAATAAAAAGAAAATGAACCAAACAATCACAGAATATACACCTACTACATAAACTACCTTAAGAAGTCAAAATATGGGTAAAAAGTGCAGTGTGAGGTTCAAAACTGAACAAAAAGTGCTGTAAAACAACCAAATAAAGTTCAGGTTGTATTAAAAAAAAGGGAAAATTTCATGACTGGGAAACACAATATATACAGAGTATCTTATACATGATGGGATTGTGACATTGAACTTGACCATCTCCAATCACAAAACTTATTCTGAAACACATCAACTGATTCGCTCATGTGACCAAGTTTCACTGCCACTGCTCAGTCCTTCATGAATCCTGGACTATATTATACTCTCAATAATGATTATCAATTATAATCAGTCTAGTTTTAGCCCTGATTGAGATCAAATCTAAATCGTCATACAATTGCCTAGACAATTAACTTGTAATATAAAAAAAAAAAAAACTGGCAAACCAACACTGTAGAGGTGCTTCTGTGCAAATGTTAAAGGTCAGGTAAGGTACATAATGGATAAATAAATGCCGAAAGTGTCAAACGAGTCAGGTTTACTACGGTGCTACATATTGTCCCTAAGTAATAACAAACACTATCACCGGAATAAAATCATTGATATTTAATAAGAAAAAAATAATCCTAAAAGCAACTTAAATGAACACGTCATACATTTGAATATCATTTACTGCATATGTTAAATAAATGTGTAATATGCTAATTAGAGAGTCAATTTGTTCATCCTTTTGACTTGTAAAATAAAGTTCATGTTCATGCAGTGCTAAATGACTGCAGGCTTTAAATACTTGATGCATGTTAAAATGCAATTCAGCAGATGTCTCAAATATAGTATGAAGCCTAGCCGAGGGCTTAAAATGATTTCAATCTAAGAATCAATGTTTTCTGTGTTCTTCTTGTGCCATCTAGAACCTTGTATTGTAGTATCTGCTGTTTCACTTCAGTACTGTACATCCAAAATGAAAGGCCTCGTAGTGGTAGTGTATGGGTTTACCAGAAGAAATGTTGGTTGACACCTGTGCAGGAGTCATGGGTTCATATACGGCTGGTAGATTCTGGACAGACATCTGTGTATGTCTCAGTGGATCTGCTGGTCAGTGTTCACGTGGGTCTGATTGTCATTGTCTGTGTAATACTGTCTGTAGATCCTCTGGCAAGGAGCTGATGATGGTCTGGATGGATTTCTCTAATCTCTCCAGAAGTTCTTCTTTCACTGGAAGCTGATGTTTTCTAGCTCTCATCTGTGTAGGACACATAAATGAAGAGAGAAGCTTCATGCAAATCAGGGCTCCAGACTAACTTTTCCACTGGTTGCACTGGTGCTACCAACTTTCTCAGTTGGTCGCACCAACATATGATTTGGTCGCACCTTTTTTTTTTTTTTTTACATGCCATGGGATTAATCAATGCATGTTGATGAATAGTGGTTTTAATGGACCAAGGCTAGCAAAGGCTTTCTGGGTTGCAGCATAAATACCTGTAATATATTATATAAAAACATTTTTATATTTATACTATATATATTATATAGTATAAATATAATTATATTATATATTACATTTTATTATATATTACATTACATTTTTAACCCAACATTTGGGTTTGTCCATATTTGACCCAAATTTGAGTTTAAACAACCCAGCATTGTTTAGGAATGTATAAATCTATCTATTAACATTTGAATTATATTATATCTATCTATCTATCTATCTATCTGTATCTATTTATCTATCTATCCATCTATCTATCTATCTATCTATCTTATCTATCTATCTATCTTATCTATCTATGTATCTATCTATCTATCTATCTATCTATCTATCTATCTATCTATCTATCTATCTATCTATCTATCTATCTATCTATCTATCTATCTATCTATCTATCTATCTATCTATCTATCTATCTATCTATCTATCTATCTATCTATCTATCTATCTATTATCATCTTCTATCAGCATCATCTTTCTATCTTTTAAAAATCATTAAACATTCAAATGTATGCATTACATTTTAAAAGATTAGAGTATTATAATACGCTGATACAGATTTTCCGTTATCAAAGTTTATAGTTGTAACAAAAATCTGAAATCTCACACTCCTTAGGCCTACCTTCTGCATTTTATAATTATTTTCCTCTGTCGATCGATTACTATCATCTAACCGCTGAAAAGACGTAGGAAGGGGCTCGGTATTTCGTGAGACCGTTTCATTTTTATATGCCTTAATTCCTGAATTCGTAATTTGGCACGTTTCACCATCAGTGTGCAATGCGCGTGACGTGTACGTTCGTCAATAAATAAACTGCACGTGTCTTGCGGAAGAACACTGTAGCCGGAGCTACTTCTCTCCGTTAATGTCTATGGCGAGTCACGCAGGCACTGGGCTACTCCGTAGCCGAGCCGACCCCGGGATAAAATAGTCAGAATATAAACACTTATTATAAGCGTACCGTAGGGATTCAGGATAAGTCAAAAACACCGTTTGGAAAATGGATTCATGATGTACTCGTTCATTTTGAACATAAGTTACGGACTGCAGCAGCTGATACAACGGCGTTCTGTTGCTCAAGCGTCCACTCGCACAAATGCGACCACATACAATTTTAACTCGCACATTCTCAAAAAACGGTCGCATATGCGACCAATTTGGTCGCAGTCTGGAACCCTGCAAATGTCTAAATGTAAAACACAAAGAATGCACTTTAAGCCCAATTACACTCAGAAGGCGGTTGTTTAAGTGTCACTCACCAGTTTCTCCCTCAACTTTAGGATGAGGTCAACAATCTCCACCTCTGATTTGTCTTTGGTCCACGTCAGCAGGTCCTGAATTAATGAAGACAAAACCAGAATCAAACTAATTAAATGACCCTTTAAAGGAGTAAATTATACATGAAAATGATCGTTATTCTTTACTCATGCTCATTTGGTTCTGAACTCATAGGATTTTCTTTCTTCTGTGGAACACAAAAGAAGGATTTTGAAGAATTGTACTGGTCGCGCTTTTCCATGCAACTCAAAACGGACTGAAATTTAAGTGGTTATTCACTGAAAATCTCGACATCCTGCTCTCAATGGTTTCTTTGAGTTCTTTTTAATAATCGGTTGATCCATTTTCACAAAACCCGATTGAATGATTCGTTCAATGAAATTAATCAATAAAATTGTGTTAATAACATCTTAAATTTCAGTCTGTTCCTCACTTAATGTGATCACATAGATTCAAAAGACTAGCACATACACTACTGTTCAAAAGTTTGGCGGTCAGTAAGATTTTTTAAATGCATTTGAAAGAGGTTTCTTAAATGTTCACTAAGGCTGCATTTATTTAATCAAAAGTGGTGTACAACGTGATATATTATTATTATTATTATATAAAATAAGAGTTGTATATTTTAATATATTTTATAATGTAATTTATTCCTGTGATGGCAGTCTTCAGTGTCACATGATCCTTCAAAAAATTATGCTAATATGATGATTTGCTGCTCATTTTCTTATTTTCAAGGTTGAAAACAGTTATGATTCTTTAATGAATAGAAATCATCTCACTCATTTGAAATAGAAATCTTACCATTATAAATGTCTTCATTGTCATTTTGATCAATTTAATGCATCCTTGATGAATTTGAGTATTAATTTCTTTAAAATGAAAACACTGACTGCCCACGAACTTTTGAAAGGCAGTGTTAGTTATATAGACTACTCTTACTATTCTTTTATGAATCATTTTATAGTGCTTTTGTATCCTTTTTGAAGTCTCAGTTTACGTTCAGTGAAATTGCATGGAACAGAGCGACCAGTTCAATTCCTCAGAATTTCTCTTTTTGTGTTAAACAGAAGAAAAAGTCAAACGAGTTTAGAACGACTTGATGGTTATCCTTTTTGGCTGAGCAAATCCTTTAAACATTCTTTATTTGCACTCACACTCTGAAGTGATAATAATAAAGGCTTAAGAAGTATAATGGTACGAGAAGAGACCGAATCCAGATCCAACATCATACTCACAGCCGCACAGATGGCCTCTAAATGAAGGCGTTCCACTTTTTGAGTCATCTCTCTGTGCCTGAGCCGATACCAGCCATCAAAATTAGGCGAACGAAAGAAACGCCTGAAAGTCACATTTAAACAGTTTTTATATTATATGCACAATTTACAGAAAGTTTCAATCATTAGTTCCCAAATGCCCTTTGCTGCGTTTCTCGAAATTATTGTAAACCAAAGTAGAACATTCAGATTACTGGTGCCAATGGGCTTACAGTGCTTTTGTAAACGCAACCCTAGTGTGTTACCTGTACAGGCCCGTCCAATCTCCTTTGAGCGTTAGTTGCGGCCCTGCTTGCTCCAGGGTCTTCATGAACTCATCCTGACTAAAGGACCGGATCTGAGGAGGTGTCTGAGACATAAACACAGACACAACTGTTATGTTTGAGGTCCAACATAATCATTTCAAATGCCCGAATGTCGTCTGAATCTGATCTACATCATCTTGAACCAACCTTCCATGGAGACACAGATCTCTGCGGCGGCATGAGGCTCTCCAAATAACTTTCCTGAAGTAAAGAATGTGTGTGAAGCTCAAGACTGCTTAGCGAATGAAATAAAACCTCTGAACAAAGGTGCAAAAGAAGTTCACCAGTGGAAGAATGAAACTATGCGTTTGCTCCAACAGATGCCGCCTCAAAATGGCACTCTGCGCCTCTGATGGCCTTTTTTTCTGGATACCCTGAAAGAACAATTAAAAACCAAAGCGAGACGTTACACATGCTATAGCTTTAAACTTAAATATTCATTTTTCATGAACGGAGTCAACTGACATCAGCAGCCTACCTTTAAGAGTCGTTTGATGAGGGCTTTGTCTTTGTGTAAGAAGGTCTTGTATGCTGTGTAAATACCTTTATGGGAAGATACATTTTATTTTTATTTAAATACTATATATATATATATATATATATATACACACACACACACACACACACACACACACACGTTCATGTGTTTGCATTATTCAGCACATAAGCTTACAGCAAAGCCTTGTTGTGTACCTGTTTTAGTATCCAGTGATTTTAACTTTGCCAGTTTCTTGAGCTTCACTTGCTTTGGTAAATCACCTGCAGAGAAACTCCATTCAAACCTCTCTCATGTGCAATATGCCGAAATCATATGCAATCAAAAAGGCTGTCAGAGGAGCCTAAAATGGAGCATTATTTACCAGTCATCTTAAGGTCTCCAAGGCGAATAATGTGTGGCCAGCACTGAAAGGTCTTTATGAAGAAAGGGTTTGTGACACCCAGTATCACATTGGGCCTGAAAGCAGAAAAAAATACTTATTTCCTGACCTGAAAATTATATTTTCTACATGGGTGAAACCTTGACTAGATGTGAGCTACTTTCATTAGCTCACATCTAGTCAAGGTTTCATCCAAAAATGAAAATATGACTTTTTGCAGAATATCCTGGCTCATGTTTCCTTGGACTTGAAAGGCTTGTCAACTACTAAATGACAAAAAACACCATAAAACAAAAGCATCATAAATGTGGTCCAATCAAATTTCATGTCATGACAGCTTTGTTGGAGGAACAGAATGGTGCTTTTTGTCATTCTGCAACTTGACAGTTCCAGTCCCCATACACTTTCATTATATGGAAAAGAAAAACTTGGATCATTCTTCAAAAATTAATGAGTTTGGATCAACATGCTTCTTGATTTTCCCACAATTGTAAAGATACTTTTCAAAGGTGATTTACTCTATTTTGGTAGCTATCGTAGAAATCAGTGTTTCTTTCCAAAATATAAACATTTATACCAGTACCTCTGTAATGATATTCATTATCATAACACAGAACTAATGATACTGAGTGGCTAAAAAGTCTGTGAAGCTTCATACCTCAACATGACAACTGCTCTCTCTGGCTCAGCAGCAGTGCGAACGCAGATTTGAATGTTCACTGTAATTGTTTAGACATAGACGAATCGTTGTCGTTTAGGAATAAAGCGCGTGGGTGTCTGAATCGCGATTTTAATCTTTTAACAATTAACCGTGTTGCTCTAGAGTACATAATTACAGAATTTTCATTTCTTGATGAAGAGAGACTTTAATGTGGAGTGCGTGTATTTGCTTACGGAGCCTGAGTCCTGGTGGTGTACTCCTTAAATTCACTGTCATGAATGGTGAAGTACGGTCGGTAATCACCACAGTAGCGCAGTGGGGTGATGGAGCTAAATAAACAACAACAACAAAAAGTATACTTATAAACTTTTTATACTTATAAACTCGAGTGATAAAGCATGTTTATGAGCTGTATAATTCATATTATGTAATTGAAATTTAAAAAAATTAATTAAAAATAATTAATTAAAACTAAATCCATAAAATGATAGGAACCTCTAAAAGGTTCTAAGAAGCGCCTGACAGAATTCTTTAAGTTTCCATGTACACTACTGTTCAAAAGTTTGGAGTCGGTACGATTTTAAATACTTTTAAAAGAATTCTCTTCTGCTAACCATGGCTGCGCTTATTTGATTAAAAATACAACAAAAATCAGTTATAGTATTAAATATTATTCCAGTGTAAATCAGCTGTTTTCAGTGTGAATATATAGTAAAGTGTAATTTATTCCTGTGATCAAAGCTGAATTTTCAGCATCACCAGTGTCAGTGTCTTCAGTGTCAAATGATCCTTCACAAATCAGTATAATATGAGGATTTGATGCTCAAGAAACATTTATTATTATTATCAATGTTGAAACAGTTGTTGGTCTGTCAGTTGTACAGTTTTTTTTTTTTTTTTTTTTTTAGGATTCTTTGATGAATAGGAAGTTCAAAAGAACAGCATTTGTTTGAAATAGAATCTTTTGTAACATTATAAATGTCTCTACTGTCCTTGATAAATAAAAGTATTGATTTCTTTCCTCCAAAAAATAAAAATAAAATTCTTACTGACCCCAAACTTTTGAACGGTAGTGTAGAACATGTTCTTCTAAGAGTGTGGATTATCGATAAACGTATGCATAAACTCTACTAAAAAACAGACCTATCTATTGTCACTATTATGAGTTCCTCAAAATAACTTTTGTGTATGCGCCTCTGCTTTGAGAACGCAATGTCCATACCTGACCAGGGCCAGCACAGTCTCCGAGGAGACGGTTGGAGAGGGTGCCATAACAACCACGGGCTCTCCTAGCAACATGAGCTCCCAGAACATCTGCACATGAATCAGGACTGACTGGAAACATCTGATTAGATAAAGGTCAATTAGGGCAGCTATTAGTGACGGCTGTAAAATCAACAGATGGTTTAGTAATTACAGAAGCAGCGTAATACTCACTTAAAAAGATCCAGCTCGTGAACTGATGGAAGAACCGTGGGGGCAGGAAGCAGATTCTGCAAAAATGCAACCACATATCAACCATTTGTAAAAATAAATAAATAAATAAAAGCATACAGTATGTGAAGGATTGCAATGGTAAAATGAGTTAAGCACCTCTGTTTGTGGCTGTTTTAGAGGGCTTCCTCCTGGCGTTTCAACTTTTGAGGGAATTCTGACCTGCAAATTCAAACCCAGCATTTCGAGAAGTTCAATTGATGTTTTTGATAAATGATTTAGATAATGGTGTGATCAATCGCCCATCCAAACACCAACTAACAAGTTTTTCCATCCATAATATTCTTACCTGCATCACCACACCCATCACAGGTAAGTTGAGGGTTTGCCCTGGTACTGGTGCTGGCCATTGGTCAATCTCGTTACAAACTGAAACACATTAATCAATATGATTGAGGATTTCAGATCTGTTTTTTTTTCAGATCTATACATATATTTCCATGCAGCTTTACAGAATGTCAAAATAATTTATATATATACAGTGTAAATACATATTGAAGTCAAGGTGGCCTCACCTGTCTCCAGACAAGGTTCGAGCTTTTCAAAGTACTCAGGAGCAATGACCTGCAGCAGCGAATGAAACAGGTTCACAAACGGCAGTCTGGACACCACCACCAGGGACTAGGGATATAGAAAAACTGAAATTATTTACACCATTCAATTAAAACTTCATGTTTTCATGTAAGCAGAGCACAACAGCTCATTGTGAAAACCCAGAACAAACATTTGTATCTTTCAGTTCAGTTACACACCTTCTGAAAGTAGCCCCTTTTGACAGACGCATCTTTCACTTGCCTGAAATACACATACCCGTGGAAATGTGCGTGCTCCTTCTAAAAAATAGGAAAATAATTGACATGCACACTTTATTTCTGGAATGTATTGGTTCAAGCAGATGTTAATCAGTGGTGATGCTAGGAAATGTTTCAATTATATACAGTAAACCAGTAATATTGTTAAAATTTAATACAATTTAAAATAACTTTTCTATAATATATTGTTAAATATCATTTATTCCGGTGATGTTCAAGCCAAATTTACTGCAGCCATTACTCCAGTCCTCAGTCTCACATGATCCATCAAAAATCATTCTAATATTCTGATTTAGTGCTCAAGAAACATGTCTTATTATAGTTATTATTAATGTTGAAAAAGGTTTTGCTGCTTAATATATCAAGTCTATTTCTAACCTGCAGGGCCACAGGTGCATCCTTGTTGTAAGCATCCTCCTGTCCAAACCAATAGCTACTGCGGCCCACCGACTGCCGCAGTCTGAAGCTGAACTGAGTGTCCCCGAGGCATCCTGGGATAGACATGAACTCATGTGACTGAACTGTAAAGCTCATGTTTCAGCTGTTTATCATGATAACACTGATGAGATCAGTCTTTGCCAGCATATTACCTGAGTATGAGTCAGGAAAGGATAAGTAACAAATACTTGTTTTCTAAAAGACAGAAGGAAGCGAAAGATTTTAGTAGTTTTAGGGGCATTTTATAATGAAATTAATGTTTTAAAATTGTTGTTACACAATGCATTTATAATACTGTAGCTGGAAAATTAATTAAAATTAATTAATTAAATTTAATTGACCTTACCTCCTTTTCCGTGAGTCTGACATCATAGGGGTAAATGAGCTGATGATGACAACATAAAGAATGTTATAGATACACAGTGATTCTGCTGTTGCTGTGATTACAGTGTATAAATTTGCAATCAAGGCGTTTCAGCATCTTATCACAATCAGATTATTTGCTGTAAATTGGTTATGCGAGTAACTAATATAAACAAACAAGCAAACAGATGTTAGGGGTGCATGCACATCATTTGTGTAACGTTACCTCTATGGCTTGTCCGAGCTCGAGGTCGAAGGTAACGACGCACACACACTCGAGCCAGGCAGAGAAGCGCGACCACGGCTCCGATACCTCTGTATCTGTCGCTGCAGACCTTGATGGCCCTTCCAGAGAATCGGCGCTGTCAAACGGATCCATTTTGACTTAAGGATCCATTTGAGATCCGCTTGCTTTTGTGAATGATCACGTCCTCGGTCGTCGTTCAGTAATCACTGAGGTTGAACAGCGCCCTCGCGCGGGGAGGACTGATTTATTACTACTCCCATAGTTAATAATATTGGTTCTCAAAAAGGAGGCCGCAAAATAAATTACAATTATTTTAAATAAACTTTAAATTATGTTTAAAGTATGTATTATCATATTTTTTACTCTTTACACACAAAACTGATCTCTAACTCACATTGCACTGCAGTGTACCAAAAGACGATAATGTTCTGTTTATTCTAAGCGATGCTTGTCTGTGACAATGACTAATACATGATGGATTCTGATTGGCTGTCAATGTTTTTATGGTTCATCGGCTGGATAAAATCGTTCTGAACGTGATTTCAACTATGTCGTTTTTCTGTGCCGTTATTGCTGTGGTGTGAGAACGATTTTTTTAGAACAAGGCCTATATCTTTATCGTTATCGTTTTCTTTATAGTTATCGTCGTCCTTGGTGTGAACAGGCCACCTAATAAAAAATAGTGTACACAAACGATGATGTTAAGAAAGAATGTCAAACACTGTTAATTTGTTTTGACCGCTTTCTTATTAATAGACGTATTGAAAGTGTACGTAAATAAAATAAAAAAATCAAATCTTGCTCAAAGTTATTAAAGTGGGTTTTAACCATTTGCGTATTAACATTTATGAAAGTAAAATTCTCATAAAGCCTTCAAAACTTTGGTAATGCAGAAACTTGCCAGTTGTCAATTATTTTGTCATTAAAAAAACAAGCAAGCAAACAAACAAACAAAAATATTATGTCTAAGTCAGATAAATATTATTGACAATTAACTAAGCAAAATGACCATTCAATAAATGAATTATAGTTTCGGACAAAGCTCCTCAAGACGTGTCAGATACAAAATCTTTGTTTTATTTTGTGTTTTACATTTTGGGATTTCTGTTTTATATTTATTTTATTTTAGGAGACTGGGTAGTGCGTTTGGTTTATCTTAATAAAAGTATGAAAACAATGTTATGATTTCAACAAAAGTATGAGGAAAAATTCACATTTATATTATTTGGTTTATTGTGTTTTTACCTTGTAGTTTTCTTTTATTTTCCCTTTTTTCTTTAGGCCTACGTACTTCTATTATGATTGTTTTTATTATTATTATTATTTTAATCTATGTTGATCATGTCTAAGCTAGTGCAATGTACGCGGGGAGCGCGCACCCGATGCGCAGGCAACAATCTGACAGCACGCGTACGCGCGCGTCTATGACAGTGTTTCGCCATTTTGAATACAAACATATGAACGATTTTTATTTTCCGATCCCTTTTCCCTCGCCGTGCGTGTGAGTGGCCGAGATAACTCTGCGTAGTGTTTCGCCGCAGAATAATTTCCTAAAAAATTATCTCATACATAAAGGAAAGCAGAAAAACAACTTTAGTGAGGACGATGGCTCGCGCTTTGGGCAGATAGTTGAGAGGAAAACGGTCTCGTGGCAGCAGCGGGGTTTCACAGAGCGCGCGGGGCAGCAGCGCCACTGCTCCACTGCACGGGCCAGACCAGTACTAACCGACAACCAGTAGCCCGTTCTACAGACACTCATAGCGGGGGTAAGCTTACATGCACAGACTGTTTACTTGCGCAGATAGCACTGCTGGAACAGACGGTCTCTGTTTTACACCAAACCGTGCTTGTTCATGAGTATTTTGATTAGAAAATGTGTCGTTTTAATTCCCATCAGAGGAGAAGAAACTTCTGTAACAGAGATTCAGCTGAAGTTAGCCAGACGAGCTAGCAAACAAACCGAAAACATCCCAATCTTTAGCGTTAAATAAAGCCAAGCGCACTCTACACATCTGTTAATCCATTTTGAGTTATAAACGAGTTTGCATTTGAGTTGTTTCAGTCGAGTTTGGGATTGTTATGAAAATACGGAAACCAGTTGTTGTCGTTAATGTTAGCAGCTGATGCTAACGGCTGCTAGCGGGGCCCAGCTGTTAACATGCGACCATCGAGATTTTCTGCTGAAACTGTTATTCTGCACTTAAAATCATCGTCACGTCTTGTGTGAGTTTGATAGGAGAACGTCTTCTTTAACCGTCCCGGCTTTATAAGGTGTGAATGATGCTCTGGTATGTTCTTGACGCCTATTGTAAACATTGGATTCAAATCATGTTGTCATTAGCAGCCACATGAGTAATTCAGAAGTCCTCTCTAGCTATTTAACTATTGAGTTGTACAACACGATCGTTCAGTATCACGACTGCAATCTCATTTGAAGTTCTGTAATGCTATGAACCCCCTCTGGGGTCCAGGGGTCAGGACAAGTTGCTGGATCAACTTCCTAAGTAGGCAGCTTCTGGACAGTTGTGCAATCAATGGCAGCTTATTTGACCTCAGCTGCTGCTGTCAAGAGATCCCATGCAACATCCCCGCTCGTGTCTGCTTTGTGTGGCAGGTTTGCTGCATGCAAGGGCTGCTGCCTGTTACTATTTTTGATGAATTGTAGAGCAGAGACATTTGCTTTCCTGTGTAGAGTTCATTAGGGAGTTCTCTGGTTTGTATTGTCATACTAAGCTCTGCACGTGCACACAATCATGTCCACTTCCACATAAAAGAAGGAAACAAGTCCTCTTTTCTTTTTTTTTGGCCACTTTTCCCAAATGAAAGAATTGCTTCAGCTTGCACAGCTGCAGATCAATGATAAAGATTCTTTCCGGTATGTATTCTCTGTGCTGTTTGTCATCAGATGAATATGTTGTGCTCAAGGAAGCTGTTACCAGCTGCTGCTTTGAGTGCCATATGTGTACAAGATGTGGCGTTGCAGGTCCGCATTTCATTTAGGACAGTATATTAAGTGGATCCTTCTATTTTAACTTCCTAGTATCTGGTCTAAAGGTGAGGTCACATTAGCGACATTTTGCGGGCAAAAAGATCATTTGTCTATAGTCAAGCAATAATGTAGAAATGTATGAAACGAAACCAAGTTGGTCAGAACTGCAAATCTTGAATTTGAACCTGTTCCAAAATCTGTGTGAGGAAATTGTTCGCCCTCAGGTGAAATTCATGATCGCGTGGACTCCTATTGAAATGGCTAGATTTTTACGAATTTTGAAAATTTGCCGAACTATGGGAAATGTGACCGTGCTTAAAATCTGAAGCCTTGAAATGCTTAAAATAACTGTGTATCTGCTAGTAGAGAGTAAGTATGGGGGTGAATGTTTATGGAAAATAATGTGTATGTGCATTTGTTCACTGTTGGCATGGAAATTAATGGTTGTACAAACACTACGTTTTCAGTTTACAAGACCTTCCATAGTTCTGATTTTAGCCTTGCACATTGTTTCAAGGTTTCTATACTGTATGATGCAGTGTGTTTTAATGCATTAATGCTTCATCATCATGTACTTACTCTGTGCATTGTTTGTCGCATTGGTTCAAATTGTTTTTACACCATGCCTGCATTGATTTTTGAAGGGTTTGCACTTTCTCATACTCGATTCTTTTCCCCAGTGTCAGTCCGTCTGAGGCGTGTATTCGAGGAAGGCCTGGTGGGAAGTGGACCTCATGCAGATTAATGCTAGGTCATTCTGTGCTGTCTGCATTCTGCCACTCAAATGCCTGTCTGCCTGTGGAGGAGGTGTAACTAAGGATTCACACGTTTCATCAGCTGGTAAAAATATATTTACTTAACAAATGCTATCAATGTTCCAGTGCTTGAGTTCCTGTCTGAGGAGTCTTTTATATAGCCTCACTAACAGATCACATCTCTTTGAGCAAGCAAAGCCTATCAGGCTGTGTGAAATGTATCGCCCAGGGTGTGATGCGTGGGTACCAGTCATCTTGTGGGAAAGGTCTGCTTTGTTCATGACCAGAGTTGTTAGAAAATCTTCACAGCACAGGTGATTTCAATCAGTATTGAAAGGAAAGTTGCTCTTCATGTTCCAGTTGCTTCATGTTTTGTTTTGAGTGGGATGTGTTAGTTGGACGCTTTAAAGGTCCATCAATTATTTTTGTCCCCTTCCTTATTCTCCTGTTCTCCAGATTCTCTTTCATCGGTTAGTTCTGCTTTCCATCGCTATTCTTTCCCCCTCCCCTCCCACTCGGCCTATATCTTTGTTCCAAAACCTATTAGGCTGCCTATATAGACAGCTGCTTTTTAATGCTACCATCATGTAACTTTATAAGCGAGTGATTTGAAACACACTACACATCAGTGGTTCTCAACCAGGGGACCGAGACTCACTAGGGGGCTTCAGCAAACTTCCAAGGGGGCCATAAGATGACTAAAAGGTATTAGAATATATAAATTATCACAAATTTTAAATAATCTCAAAATTAAAAATGTTAATGTAAAATGTATTTCTTATATAGTATTATAATAATAAATATTAAAATAAAATATTTTTATTAATTTATTAGTTTCAATTGAACAAAATACAATTCTTGAAACTTCTGAAATAACAAAATGAATTGTGGTTAAAGCTGCAGTCCGTAGCTTTTTTAAGTTAAAAATAATCCAAAATAATTATATTAAAAAAAACTTATTCTGCCAGTGGTCAAAACTATCTGCTTGCCATAGCTAGATTCAAAACGGTTAGCTTGGAATAATGATTTTAATTCCAGTGGTACTGGTGGGTTTCCGCGGGAAATTCGAGCATGTCTTTGCGTCATTACGTCACACCCGTACACATAAAGAAGGAGTTTCGGCTAGCCGGCTATACTGCGCGTGACGAGATGTTTAGATGTATAGGCTTTTCTCGCAGCACTTTACATAATTAAACTTATGGCATCCAGAAAGATCCAAACAACAATCATCAGTGTCAACTGGAGATTCAGCAGTTATAAAACCCAAAAGACTTCGTACTTCGGATTTAAGGTGGCTAGAGAAAGAGAAAGAAACCGTCTCATGCGAACACAAGGATTTAAACATCGGCGGGGCTTTTGAAAAGTGCGTGAACTCCGTGTTTTGAAGGGGTTCAAAACGGAAGAAGAGACGGCTTTTTTCTGCTGAACAAGTAAGTTAAGATATTTCAATAGTTCAATTGTGTAACAGTA